CCATTAATCCCAGCAAGAAAAGTTCTGGTTTCAGTTGAATGTTGATCTTTAAAATTCTTTGCATCATTATATGTATTTGAACCCAGAAATTTCTGGCTTTTTGACAAGTCCACCAAGCATGATAAAATGACGCTTCATGCTGTCCACATTTCCAACATAAATTTGAAGTACCTTCATACATTCTAGACAATTTTTCTGGAGTCATATACCAATGGTACATCATTTTATAAAAATTCTCTTTTAAGTTATAACATAATGTAAATTTCAATCCCTTTAACCCCATATTTTCCCAGAACCCAGAAATTTCTGGCTTTTTGACAAGTCCACCAAGCATGATAAAATGACGCTTCATGCTGTCCACATTTCCAACATAAATTTGAAGTACCTTCATACATTCTAGACAATTTTTCTGGAGTCATATACCAATGGTACATCATTTTATAAAAATTCTCTTTTAAGTTATAACATAATGTAAATTTCAATCCCTTTAACCCCATATTTTCCCACCGTTCCATCAGTATATTGTGTCCAAAGTTAGCCCATTTTATCATACAGTCTTTCACTTGTTCTTCTTCCGTTTCAAATTTCAATAACGGTTTATACATTTTAGCAATTACATGTTCATCATTTGTATACAGTTCAAATTCTGTCTTCTGCTGCTCATTTCCAAATATCCTCCCAATGCCTGCATTTTGAAAGACATTTCTAAGGGATTATAATGTTCTCCTTTGGGAAGAATGATCATGGCCTGAGGAATGGCCCTGGAATGACTCTTTTCGTTTCCTGGAGCAAAATCTCTCCTTTTGATTCTTGGCAGACTTCATTGTATGCATGCTGGTAATGTTTTAAAGAAGGGGCTTCTTGTTGCATGCAGGAATATTGTGCAGACTGACCGAAAAGAGAGGGAAGCCCTACCCAGAGGAGCAAAAGGAGGGAATGAGCCTTCCCTCTATTCTGTGGAGACCTCACTCAAAATCTAATTTCTTCAGCCCAGATCACTCTGTGCCTCTCATTGCACAGAAAAAGGGATGCTCCCTTTCTTCTTGCACAAAGAAGCATGGAATTATCTTCTCATGGAAGGAGAAACTGTCCTTTCCTTTATCCCCAGCTGGTTTGCTCAGAGAAAGGGGGCTTTGGAAGGGGAAAGACTTAGAAGGCTCACTTGGCATGTTGTTGCTAACAATTCAGTCCAATCCATAGGCATTTTGAGGTGCCCAGTCCTTGCCCTAATTCACCACCAGAAAAAAAAATGCAAGAATTATTATTTTATTTCACAGAAAAGGTGTCTAACGAGAACTGTCATCGTGGTTTTCTGTTTTTGTTTTTGTTTTCAGCTGAGAGCGGCCAAAGTAGTGGACAGTTTCAAGGACGGCCTTCAGAGGTCTGGTCCCAGTGGCAGAGCCAGCACCATAACCAGCAGAACAGTGAACAGCATCCCCACCAGCAAACCAGCCAGACAGAAGTGTTCCAGGTGAGGGAGAACCACTAAAAACGTTTGGGGATCAGGAAGTTGTAGCTTCAAGAAAGCGGCAGGGATTTCATAGAACCATCAAGTTGGAAGAAGCCATAAAGATTCTTAAATTCAACTCCTGGTCACTATTGGAAGTCCAAGTTAAAGCATCCATAACAACTGTCTATCCCAGTGTTTCTCAACCGTATCAACTTTAAGATGTGCGGACTTTAACTCCCAGAATTGCTGGCTGGGGAATTCTGGGAGTTGAAGTCCGCACATCTTAAAGTCGCTGAGGTTGAGAAACACTGGTCTATCCAGTCTCTGCTTGGAGACATCTAGGAAAGGAGAGCTTACCATCTCCCTATACCAGTGGTTCTTAAACTGTTTGACCCAATTACCCCCTTCCCCAGTCTCAAATAATGTCATAACCCCCACCATAAAAACAGATTTTGTTGTTTACACAAGCATCTTGGCAGTGGCAAATCTAAACTGCAATTACAAGTTGCTCCATTACCTCCTTGGGAGTAATTACCTCCAGTTTAAGAACCACTACCCTAGGTCATGTTCCATTGTAAAATCGCTCTTACCGTTTGGATGTTCCTAACGTTCCACTAGAATTCCTGTAACTTAAGAGAACTGATCTTGACTTTCTTCTGGCTGACACCTCTTCAGGTAATTAAAAATGCTATCCTATCCCTTAGAGCCATCTTTTCTCAAGGCTAAGTATACCAGCTTCTTCAGTCTCTCCATATACAGTAAGATTTAATCTGCAGTCCCAGGATCATCACTGTTACTTTCCCCTACCCGTTTTAGGTGCTCTGATGAATCTTGCTTAAAATGTGGTGCCCAACCTGTGCAGGATGTAATTGAAGGATTACTTTTTGTGATTTGGAAGAGATTGCTCCCCACCTTCCTAAACCCCCAGATTTAAAGGAGCAAGAGCAGTATGATAACCTGGTGGGTCTCCCTTAGAACTAACCCATTGCTAGATTTGCAAAACTCAGGATATTGAGGAGTTAAATTGAAGGCATGGTATCTTATCACATTCTAGAGATTGACAGAAAATGGGCTGCATGAGAACTGTGGGAAATGTATAAATGTATGTATGTATGTATGTATGTATGAATGTAAATTTATTGGCCGCCCAACTCCAGTGAACTCTGGGCAGCATCAAATTAAAAAACAGAAGTTCATGGCTGCCTCATGTACAGCCTCTAGTAGCTGATGGAGGGTACCAGATATAGATATCTTTGCCTTACTTTCACTGTGGAAGCACTCCTTCGCCATTAGCTCTGCTATCTTTGGAGTTAACTGCTTTGCAACCAAACAAGGTTTTTCAGAAACGTGAATGGCAGAAGTTCCAAAACAGTGCTTTTTGCCCTCTCATGAAATAAACATCACATGTTCTTTTGCTTTCGTTCTTTTACAGGATATGCTTCCTATTCCAGGGGATCCAACACAAGGGACTGGCAATTACAACATAGAAGACTTTGCTGATTTGGGGATGTTTCCACCATTTTCTGAGTAAATTTATCTAGCCAGATAACCTGTTCTGGTGCAAGATTGGGGGAAGCCTGCTGATGTAGTCTGGGCTCTGTTTTTTCTTTGTTTGTTTGTTTGTTTTTTGGTGTTAACATTATCATAGAAGCTCTTATCCAAGAAGCCCCCGTTCTCTTATTTCAGATAACTTGCTCTCCTTCCCAATGTTAACCATGCAAATTCTAATAATTTACATCATATCAGTCAGGATTTGTGTAAGAGTTCCATTTGTATTTCATTCCCATTTGCAAAAGAAATCAGGGATGGATGAGTAGAGGAAAGGAGAGGAGGATGGGGGAGCACTTTGTCTGTGTGTGTGTGTGTGTGTGTGTGTGTGTGTGTTCTGAGCTCTTAACATCAAAATATGAACCACTGCTAATTTTCCATTTTCAGGAAAGTTATCTTGCTTAAATATTATCCTACTCCCAACTCTCAACACAAATCCTCCAGATTTTTGTGGGACTTTGAACAAGGGATAGTTAATGAGTCATGCATAGCAGTCTTGGGTTGGGATGAACTAAAAGAAGCACCATTCAGCCCCCATAGTTTACTTCACTGGGGGGAGATACTTGGTATGTATTCTTGGATTCGGTCACTAAAGCCCAACCATTTAAAAAGATCTTGACTAACAAGGCTGGAAAGAACCTCCTATAATTCTAAACTAGAATTTTCATTCATATATATGTTCAATGTATGGTAGCACTCACTGTGCCCAGCAACGAAAATAGGACTGTTATGGTTGTGTGTTATAACCAGATCTCACTTTGCATTGCAACCAGGGTCAAGTAGGTTCAATGTTTGGCTTCTTGGGGCTGCATTTCTTGTGATGCCTTGATCTTGTGGGAGCTGAGCATCAGTTAAAATAATAACAAAGGTTATACTAGCCATCCTGGATCACAAATATTGTAGCCTAGATCAGGAATATCTGTCCAGGATCATAAAGATTACAGAGTAGAGAATGGCTGGTTTCTCTATTCTTGGGATCTGCTCTAGATTGGAACTGTGGGGTTAAAAAAAACCACTTGTGCCATATGACCTCATCTTCAGCATGATTGTCTGTGCTTCATTATGCTCCTTACCGCCTATTTATAACGTTTTTGCAGTAATAGAAAAACATACATTGCAGTAGAGTAATAGAAAGACATACACTGAAGTGGAATAGTTTTGTGTTTAAATAAAAAAACAGAGCTGTGAAATGCTATCACATTAGTTTTAAATCAACTATTATTTCGTATAGTCGAAGCTCTAGCCAACTCCTTTCCATCAGCTCTGTTAAACTTTTGGTAAAACTGTTTGGAATATAAGGTTGGCATCTCTAAGTTAGCAAGGCTCTTTCAATGATTTTTTCCACATTGGCACTAAATATGATGCATTCTCAGATCGTACGGGAACTGTGAGGGGACTGACATATCAATGGCATTGAGAGAAATGCAATGTGGACGTGGTGCACAGAAATTATGTTACTGTGAAGTATACCACACATTGCAAAATCTACTTGTTCAAGCCGTTGTTTGCTGTAATGTTTGCAAGGCGCCTTACTTGAACATGATGTGCTTGTGACTGGGGAGAAAGATTAACTGAAGGGCTGTGACTTTTATGGCAGGGATCACTAGATATAGGCCAGTATACTGTGAGATTGGGCCAGAGATGACATGGCTCACCCACTTCCTTGGGGAAAGAGCGTGCATACATGTGCTAAGCACCCTTGATCCCTGCTGAAGATGCACCCTGGAACCCTGCTTACATTTTAATGCCTTCATCTATCATATTGTCATCTAGGCCAGTTTGAATGTAAGGTTACATTCCTGTAATCTGGTGCTTTCTGGCAAAAATGTTTATGGTCTTTCCAACTCCATGTTAATTCCACCTAAACTTGAATGTGTATCCATTTTTACTACCATCTGTGTATCTAGTATTGTACGAAATCAGTTCTTTTTTGTGTGTGTGTGTCTGGCTTTGAGTTTGCTGTAGGAGTGGGAAGTCTGCAGGAAGGGAAGCTGTTTGGAAAGGGAGCACGATAACATGGAATTTATAAAACAAATCTAGAGGACAGCTGACCTAGGCTGAGATTGGATAAGCACTTTGGAACAGGAGATATTCATGTCACATGGTGTGTGGTCTTAGACATCAGATGTGAATGACTACATAGTCCAGTTAATCCAACCTCCCCTCTTCTTTCTGTGAAGGAAGAATGGCACCAGTTGAATCACTGTGGCTTTCAGCGAAGGATCACATTACACATAAATTTACGGAATCCCTGATGGTCCAGAACCTAGTACCCTCCAAATGGGTTGAGCTACAGCTTCCTTCATCCCTGGCAGGTATGATGGGAATTGTAGTGCTGTGTATCCGGATTAGAGAGAGGCTATTATATACAATCAGTGATATACTTCTTGGTGGAATGTTACCAGTTCAGACTGCAGCTGAGTTTATATATAGCACAATATGTTTAAGCCATGGGTTTAAAAATGAATTATTCAATATGCCACAGGTGACTGGGTTCACACTTAATGCTGAGCCATAAGTCATGGTTTACAAACCAGTGCTTGAGTTTACATAATGCACTAAGCCTAGTTTGACATGTGCACTGAGTATTCTTAACTTTCAATGCCCTATCTATTCTCCGATGTGACATAGTTCAGCAGATTTGGAGTTGTAGACCTAGTACAAGTACAGTTTGGAGGCCACCAAACTGAAGAAAGAACTCTTACATTCCTCCCTGTTACAACCAAAAATAGTCAATTACAACCAGGAAGAAGTGGCTGGGCCCACAGATCTTGCTAAACCTGAGTTAACACAAATAATTCCTGGATTTGCATACCGTGCTGTATCCAAACAAACCACATTGTGACTTAAGGCAATGGCCTGTTTCTCACAACACCATGAATTAGAAATCATCAACCCCATTTTAGCCCAGTCCAGCATATTCTGCAAACCCAGCCAATATGAATAACTAATGTCAAGACAAGGGATAAGTAAACAAGGGTCAAAGGAGACTCTTCTGATGTCTGGCTCTCATACTTGATACAGGGATCCATTTTCAGCGGTAACCCCAAGTTGAGTGTAACAAGTAGCTCCATCCTTTGGGCTGGTTTGCACAAAGCTCTAAGCCATAATATGTTTGTTTGTATTTAGCTTAATGTAGTATACTTAGTGTGATATACCTATCCCCCAAAAAAGACACATTTGTTTTTTTATTGACAAATCATAGTTTGAAATCTTGCTTTCTTAGATTATAAACTCTGTCTTGCTTTAACCATGGCTTCAGTTTATGTCTAAACCCAAATTTAGATTATTTTTGTGTTCTGCCCACTTCTTTTACATATTGGCAAAAAGAATGGAGAAAACTAAGAATTGGCTGAAAAAGTCCTGATTATTTTGCTAGTTGATTAGATTCTCTCTGCCTTGTTCCTAACTTCTTCAAACCATAGTTTTTAAAAACCCTAAATTAGTATTATGTGTAAATTAGCTCAGTTTGTACATAGCATTAAGCCATAATGTGGCGTGTTTAGGGCTTATTACAGTGTTTGAACAAGATAGCTTAAAGTTATTGGCAACCGAAGCTACTGTGGGGTTTTTTCCCCCCAACAAATCTGGATTTAAAAAGCCTGATTTTGTGTTATATGAGAATTCAGCCATTGTTTCAGTCATCAATATTACATCTAGTTGGGTTGCTTTTCCTGCTAGAAAATAAAATATGGAATTACAAGTCAACATTTTCAAAGTTCTGAATTCATTTTAGTGCAGCATTAACAACATTGATGGATTTTTTTCCCCCAGCTGGTATGGCATATATATTTTATGTGCATTGTACTCCTTTCATCCCTCCTTTCCAAACGTTTGGCAGATGTGCAGTTATCAAAATCATACTGTCTATATAATAGATATTTTTGTTTAGACCTGATAAGTTTGTTTGGGGGACAGTAAGAAAGGAGAACCTGGCACCTTAGCTCTTCAAATGGAGGGAGGCATTACTAAACGTGGATAGGCGAGGGATACAGTGAAGACATTTTGCTATGACTATGGGGGAGCAAATATTTTACATTATCCATCTGTGCCTTTAGCTTACCAGTTGCATGGACACAAGCCATTGATTATTAGGTCCAGGCATTCTCTGGTCACTCTTAATACAATATTGATCTTAGGGGAGAAAGTAATGCAAAATAGTTGAGATATCCTGTTGGGGCTACTGACAAATTAATATAAATTGTCATGTTAAATAATTTTAATATGAATTGAGTTTACACAAAACACTTAACAGTTATGTGGTTGATTGGTTGTTTTTTGGCTTGGTGCTATGGATTAGTTCCACTCCTAACTATATTATTTGGCCCAACCTAGAGCTTTGATCTGACAAATTCTTCCAAACTTCTCACCACCATCCCATTCTCTTCTAGCTTCTGCCCAAGTTTAGCCTTCTGGTCCTTCCTAGAGGAAGGCAAGAGGAAAATATTTTTGAAAATATTTTCATTAGCAACCTTATCTTCTACTGGAATAACTGGTGAAATCATCTGTGCTGATTTCAGTGGGAAAGAGATAAATAAAT